AGAGCATTGTCTTCCGTCCATAGCGATTTGGCCTTGCAGTCGATGTCGATGGTTCGCCTGGAGTTACCCATGATCTTTTACGCTTAGGATTCTCAAAATATATCCACTTTTCATCGCTAGTCACAGTTCGATGGAGAAATGACTTTCTTTTGTACCTGGCGAGCAGCATTTCGCAAGTGATTTTTCGGTTTTCCTGCTGTCTTTTATTCAGTTCATGTGGAATCCATCTTCTGAATCTTTCCCATGGATTTCAAAGGTATGGAGACGGCTTCTCGTGTCACATTCAATTGATCCGCGAGTTGTTGTTGAGTTTGAGCGTCATCCTCATCCAACAATGCTTGCAATTCGCTGTCTTCAAACTTTTTCGGTGGTTTTCCATGTTCTTCGTTTCTCACGTCAAAATCGCCACTTTAAAATTTTTTAAACCACTCATTCAAAGCACTGTGATTTACCAAGAGCATGCTCACCGTAAGCTTCGACAAGCATTCGATGCGATTCTGCAGCAGTTTTCTTCAAATGGTAACAGAAAATCAATGCTGTCCGCAAATCGTAGTTTCCATGCACAAAATTCGACATGTTCAACGCTATTACAAACTTTACTGTTGAAACTTGTATTGTTGTGAGTTGAAAATCTTTGTCAGATGTCAGAACAAGGAAATGGCGTCAATGACACGGTCTGACGGCAACTACATTGACAGCTATGGCCATCTATGGGTAAATTCCGGTTTCATATTTACATACCTGGTACATCCACGATTATACAGGTGTTCGTGGATCATCGAAGTGCAGCGGTTTCCAGACGATTTCAGAAATCAAGCATAGTAAATGGCGGTATGCAACTGGATGGGTGACCGCTTCGAAGTACTATGAAATTAGTTCCCGAATTCAGGGAAAATTTTTTTTCTTTTTTTTTATCACAATTTTATGATGTGTACTCTGGAATAAGATAATTAATCAGTAATAATACTCATTTTAGCAATAAAACTGGTGGCACTCAATTGGACACGGCTCAATTGGATACGAGCCACTCACAGCGCTTGAGACTACAAAGCTCCTAAGCACCAGTCGCTGTGATTGGTAGTGTCCAATCGAACCGTGGTCAATCGGGATCACCCCGTACCGGTACTGTACCCTTTAGGTACGCACGTACCTGACAAGTACGGTATCGGCACGCATAGTACGCCGTACGCTCACCGTATTAATACCGTGGAGATATTTTGCTATCTGGGTAAGATTGAAAGTTTAGAAAAGAAATATTTCCACCGAATAGAAAATACGTGTATACAGGTGCTTTGTGAAGACTGGGACTGTCAACAGAGCCGAAATTCCATGTAGCAATAGTTGCACGGTCTTGCGATATTTGGTACTGGCATATATTAGATAAGTACAGATGTATGCGTTTGAGTAAGATAGAATGATATATGGGGTGATCCCGATTGACCACGTCTCGATTGGACACCACCAATCACAGCGACCGGTGCTTAGGAGCTTTGTAGTCTCAAGCACTGTGAGTGGCTCGTGTCCAGTTGAGCCGTGTCCAACTGGGTGCCACATGAATGATATATATTATATAATATAATGTAACAACTAAATCAAAGATGTCATCACTATTATCGAATTTGGAATTAAAAAAGTCTGTACTATCGATCTTGATTGAGTTGGGTAATCGGTTTAACATTCCCTTAAGCACGAATCAGAATGACGGGTCGGATTTCTTACTAGAATTGAGCATTCCGTTCCAATTCCGTTTCGTAAAAATTTTCTCTACTCGTCCCATTCAGTAAAAACGGAACGGAATGTCGCGTCGATCATAAGTAAATGTGTTTGATTCATCGATATTTCGTTATTTTGGGTAGTTGAAACATTAATATACGCATAATTTGTGCAATTATCTTACTGATAACGTTGTTGTGAGTTCTATTGTAGATCCGGGGTAATGGGACGGCGCCTCTTAGAACATATATGAATGGAAGGGGAATAGGGCGCTGAACATGAAGTCAACATCTGTGCGAGAAAGAAAGGTAGTAAGGGATAAAATGTTCGCAATGCGCATGCGTAGCACCGTAATCTGTGTGAATTGTGCAGTTGGTTTAGTGATTCTTACACATTCGTACATTACACAGATGTGTAAAACGTGATGCTGCGCGTGTGCATTGAGAACATTTATCCCTTACTACTTTTCTCTCTCGCACAGATGTTTGCATCAGCGCGAGCCATGGGCAAGTATATAAGGCAATGCCCCTTTCATATATATATGTTCTAAAGGCCATGGCACATAAAAAAACTTAAGGCGTAAGATTTAAGCAGTAACAGTGATGGGAGCTGGCAAGAATTCGTCTGCTCTAGGAAACTTTGTACGCATGCGTAAAATGACGTAGCGGCTCGA